GGGAGGCGAGCGGCAGCGATCCCTACCCAGAGGCATATTTCACACTCGCGCCCCCCACCACCCCCACCCCGACGTGCCCCACATCCCGATCATCTATGACAGGAGAGAAGAGGGCGACGTTGGGCCTCACTGGGAGGTGGCTGGAGGAGGACGGGGCTGCATGGGAAGCAAGCGCAGAGCCCCTAGAACGATGGTTCTGAGGCTCCAGGAACCGTGGGGAGGGGCTGGGACGGGCCTGAGGGGGCTCCCTCACCTGACTCAGCACGTCGGCAGGGACAGCCATGCTGGTCCTGTGAGAGTGGGGGTCTGCCTGCCCAAGGAGCTGCAGGCCTGCCCCTTGGGGCTCATGAGAACCACAGTGCTCTGATAGAAGGGCCCACTGTGGGGTCTGGGGGTCACAACCGCTTGAGCTCCCCTTTCCTGGCCTCCCAGGGCTGCTTCTATACCCTGGCACCTCCCCCCACTCCAGCTTCCTTCCTCCTCCTCTTCCCCAGCCCCTCAAGGATTCTAAGCTTCTCTGGCTCTCTTGGACCCTGCTAACCCCGCCTGAGATGCCCAGATGCCCAGAAGAGGACCCTCCCCAGATGGGAGCCAACCACGGCCTCGGCCAGCACCCCATGAGCCAGTGTGTGAGTGTGCATGTGTTTCAGGAGTTGGTGGTACCAGCTGGGGGGAGGCGTGGTGGGGACAGGGAGAGGCCTGTCTCAGAGGCACCTACAGAGGGGCTCTGTCCCCGCCTCCCCAAGCCTCTCAGGAGAAGGGCCCTCAACGTGGCCAAACTTAGGTCCTTGCCAGGAGCCAGCTCCAGATGTGGCACTCTGCAAATATTAATTACACATTCCCAGGGAGCACTGAGCAGATGGGGTGGAGGGACGGCCAGGGGCAAACAAGATGGGCTGGGTCTGTGGCGTCATCACTGGTTCAGAAATGCCATTCCTGGCTACCTACAGAAGTGGGGACACAGACGCTATCGGTCTGAATCACCACGACTGTCCAGAGAAGCACAGCAGTGGGGAGGGGAGCAGGAGATTGGGGTCAGGGATCTCTGAGTCCTGGAATGTTGCTTTCTGAGGATGCAGCTCAGCAGTCCAGGGGAGGGGCTCCCCCAGGGTGGTTCCTCCAGGCAGGTCCCAGGCCTGCACCTCTGCCTTGATACTTCTCAACCCCACTACCACTCAGGACTGGCCTGTTGGGGCTCCAGGATGGGACTGGCTGGTGGAGACAGTCGGCCAGGACCTTGGTTTCCCCAACTGTATGAGAGGACATGAGAGTACCAGCAGCATGCAGCTGGGCTAAGGCCATCACGGGCACTGAGGCGGCCAGGCAAGTGGAGTGGGTTCTAAGTCATTTCTGCCCTGACCAGCAGACCCATCCCAGGCAGCCTTCTCTCACCTCTGACCCCCTCCCCAGACAGAGGATCTTCTCACTTCCTTCTGCAGAGACCTTCCAAGGAAGGTGTCTCACCAGGTCAGGAACCCATCTCAGAGCTGGCATACCTGATGAGCCACTGGTTCTTCCTCAGGTCTGACTATAATCTCTCCTGCTTTGCTTTCCCACAAGGTCCCCAGAGTTGTTCCCCTTCTACCCTTGACACCCAGTCAGAGGGGGTAGGACCCTGGCTGTACCCATCAGAATGACCTGGTCTTCAGAGTGGGGAGACCAGCCATCTCCACATCCTCCCCCTGTGCACCCCCAGGCACCTGATGAATTATTCATCCTGATCAGCCTCATTATGTAAATGAGCTCAGAGCCCAAGCATATGCTCTCTGCTCTCCCCACCAGGATGGTGACAATATGGTCCTGATGGAGGAGGGTAGAGAAGGGGCTCAGGAGACCTCACTCAGCCTCCAGGGGCTCTGGAGGGGGCAAACTACAGTAGGGTCCACACTTTTGTGGCCTGTTCACAGCAGAGTAGACCAGGGCTGGGGGGAGGTGGGGCTGAGGTACTCAGTGAGGCATGGCTCAGGGGTGCCTGGCTAAGCATGGGGGTGGGGATGGCATGCAAGCACAGGGCCACAGTGGGTACTCCTACTATCCGTTGGCCCTGGCATTAGATAAGGAAACATGATGGGGTCTTCGCAGACAGCCCACACACCCCACCAAGGTGTGCCATGGTTTCCAACCTGTAAATGGGCCACAGTCTGCACCCAGCCATGCCCCATGGAGTTCTGGTGAGGTCGGGAAGAGGAAAAGTGCCAAGGCGAGGAAAATGCTCCCGAACCCTACTGTCTACAGTTTCTGAACTCTCGCAGCTGCCAGCTCTTGCGGCTCCCAGGTTCTGGGGGTGGGGCAGCCTTTAGGACTTGGGCAGGCAGAGAGGGCAGACACGCAGGGGCCCAGATGCCAGGATCACTCCGGCTGCAAGGTGTTTGCGGGCAGCTCCGAGTCAGCTCAGGGAGGCCTGGGGAGAGGCGGCCCCAGTGGGGGCGAAGCTGTTAGCTGGGCACAGCGGCGCCAGGGTCCACAGGAGTACTGCTGCGAGCATCTTCCTGACCCATCAGAGAGGGCACGGGCTAGGCACACGGCCCTCTCACGTGCATTTGAAGGACAGCCAAGGTAGCTCAGTCAGGGTGAGGGTGGGGAGCCGACCGGTTGGCTCCCTCCTGCTCCCACGGGGTTGTCCTTTTCTTCCAGAACTTTTCATTTGCTCCCCTGTTGCCCATCTCACTAGAATGCCCTGTGCCAAGAAGCAGCCCCAGAGCTGTCAGCGGGAAATAAGAGGCTGAGGAAGCAGGTGAGAAAAAACTGGAGCAGGACAGAGAGCCAGCAACTGTCATTGGCAGAGGGATGCCAGGAGGAGCAGGGAACGCCAGGTCAGCACTTCTCTGCCTGCCTGCCAGGCTGGCCACAGCCACACCAAGCATGGTCCCTGCTCTAGCCCAGCTCCCCACTTCCCTAGGCTCATCCTGCCCACCCTTCCAAGATGGGAAGCATAGCCGGAGGAGGAGCAGCGCCCTAGAACAGGAATCAGGAGCTCCGGGTCCAAGCCCCAGCAGCTCTGCCACAAGCCAGCTGCGTGACTTTGGTTACCTCTGAGTGGATGGGGTGGGGGAAGATGTGCTCATTGCCGAAAGTATCTGGAATTGCTCAACTCCTATCAGAAAGGAAGGGAACAACACATCCTAGGAGTGAAAATGATCAAGGAGGAAAATTCAAATTTGATTTCTACAAAAGGGGGTGTTTCTGCCTCAGCAGAAACCTGTCCATTGCCATTCTCACCACCTCATCCTCCAGCCAGACCTCCTAGCCACGCCATGGACCAAGAATGAGGATCAGAGAGGGTCCAAGACTCACCCAGCAACACACAGTGGGTACGCTGAGCCGGGATTCCATCTCTGGTCCTCATCATTCAAGAAGCTCAGTGGTTCAGACAGACCTGAGTCTCAGGCCTGAACCACATACATTATTTTTTCATTGGCAAACTTTCCGGGTCTGAGTTGCCCATGACTATAAAATAAACAATGTCCTCAAGTGAGGATTCAAAGCATGGAAGATTCTTGACTGGAGGTGCACAGTTAACTCCTTATGTGGGGTACATCTTATGTCCCAATACAAAACTTGGAAAGGCACATGACACACTTTCTAGGGAACTATATTTCTTCAGGAGCCTACATGGCTGCACTTGGCAGTGCCCACTTAGAACACAGCTAGTGCCGGGTACTATTCCTGAGCATAAATTGACTTCTGTTCCAGAACAGCTTTTCCTACAGTGCCTTCTCTGGAAAGCTCTGCCGGCCTCTGAGCACAGCTGAGTCATTGCGAGTTCACAGAAAGAGAGTGGGATGGAGGTTACTGCAATTCAAGCCCAGCAATCAGGAAAGGGAGGTGCAGATAGGCTGCGTCAGCAGGGAGAGGACATCCAACAAGTTGATGGCTCAGACCTCCAGACCTGGACTCCCCCTCCTGGCCATGTTACCACCTCGTTAGCCACCCCTGATCAGCTCCATCCTATAGCCATAGTCAATGTCAACACACTCACTGCCACCCCCATTTCTTGGGTGCCTGCTATAAGCTAAGCACGGGGAAAGGACTGAGGACAACACCTCATGGTAGCTGCCCTCCGGAGGTTACATCTGTTGACCCTGGCTGTGACCAGGAGGGATGGCAGGAACACCGTGGAGTATCTAATCACTGAGCCCTAGGCCTGGACTCTCGGCTGAACCAGCAACGGCAACTCCGTTTACTCTGCTGTTCCCAGGCCCCCATCAGCAGGAGATCCCCATTAATCCCCTGCTCAGTTCTGGTTGCACCTCCTGGCCCAAGCCCCAGCAACGAGCTCCTCGAAGTCCCACACGTACCCAGGGGTCTCACCCCAACCACTTCAAGAGCTCAACTCCCCAAGCCTCTGCATTTCCACATAAAGAGCGACGGCTCAGGAGCCCATGGCCTGACAACGACACATTTTGCAGCCTTCCGGAGGTGACGGATGGCCTGCTCTTCACATCACTATTTCAAACATTAACATAATCTCCCAGGATGAATGTGGTTGCTCGCGCCTAATCAATCACCCCTCCCGCCCCTTGATGTCTCATCTCACCAAGCACAGGCTCTCAACCTGTCTCATGCTGCAGCACCTTGAGCGGGCAGCGCTGCTCTCCGGGGTTGTTGCCTGGCCACTCGACTCACTGCGTGGACAGTCCCTCTGGCTTCCATGCACAGCTGCATCCACCGGACCCTCCAGGGCCTGGGCTCCCGCCCCAGGCACTGCCTTACACACAGACCTCACCTAACTGAAAACCTGATACATGCAACACCCTGGCATCAGAGCTGACTGGGTACCACTTCAACACAGTCACCTTGGGAAGAGCATGCCATGACCCAGAGGAGGAGTCGCTGTTTTTCTAGTTATTTCCCTACCTCCCCCGTGGGTCCAACCAGGGACCGCACCACACCAGGTCCTTGACAATGCCAAACCTTCCTCACTCCTTATTTCTGAAGCCCTTCCCCATTCCCACTTGGAAGAGGGTCCCTGAAGGAACAGCCAGTGGCACCGGGCTTACCTCGCGGAGCTGCTGGACACCCCCAAAGATCCGCATCACGCCATCGATCTCCTGCTCCAGGCGCCGGGCCCAGTGCTGCATCCTGCATGCAGAGAGGAGAGAGGTGTCAGAGGATCCGCCCAGTGCTGGAACAGCCTAGCCCCGGCCACCTAGGGCTGACCAGCAGCCACTGCCCCTTCAGAACCCCGTTTTCACTAGAGGAGAAAGAGAGGCTAGGAGCCAGAGTGCGCCTGTGACTCCCTTTGAAGTCTAGACCCGGTGGCCTGGCTCTCCTCATGTACTGTCGGACAGCCAGGGAGGAGAGTGGACTGGAGTTTAAATGCACTGAGGGAGGCCAGCAGCTCCAAGACGCCTGCAGGGAGACTATTTTTCACTGTGAAGAGCCAGCCCTTGATGCTGCTACTTTGAACATGGGGACTCTGGACACCAGGGAGGAGGGAGATGTCAGTGGGCCAGGTGGTGTCTGCTAGATCTTAGAGCTTTCTGTCCCCAAGGCTGGGTGGGTCCTGGGGAAGGGGGGAAAACACGAGTCACTGCTGCCACCACCAAGTCACTGTGTAACTTGAGGCAGATCCCTGCCCCTCTGGACCTCATCTGAACAGTGGACGTGGAGAGCTTCCAGCTCAGATGGCCCTTGCCTTTCCAGCACCCTGGTGAACAGATGCTTATCTGAGGTTCATCACTGGATGACCCACATGAACCGCCCACCCTCGGGTCAGTTCAGACCATCCACCCCTTTCTGGGGGCCCAGCAAGCCCCACGAGCCCTTCACCTGAGCCACCAGCCTGAGCAGGTCTCCTTTGCACTGGTGCCCCCCTGCGCTTGTTTCAACACATCTGTGTCTCAGTTTCCTCCTCTGGAAAGCAGGGAAATTTGGGGCTACCTCATAGGGTATGAAAAGGACACATGAGAACAGGTGGGTTAAGGGTGCTGCACAGGGATCTTTGTGAGTGGACAGGATGGGCAGGCGGTCACACGGCCCTGTATTCTCAGCCCACACCCATGAACAGGGATGGCATCTGCGGAGAGGCCTGCCCAGGCTTTAACCGTGACCCCCTCTTCAGGCAGTGCCAGATCAGATGAGCAAAATCACACCAGTCCTTGCCAGGGGCTAGCCACACAGACATTCTCCACACTGCCAAAGGCACTCTGCTGTGACCAAGGCCCCCGCCCTACTCCGTCTGAAGGGCACCTCAACTTCCCCATCCCACCAGACCCAGAATGAGGCCTTTCCAGAGAGGGCTCACAGGAGAATTACCACAAAGATTGAAATACGCCATGGTTCAAGCACACCCCACAGAGCAAGGTAGGGGTGGGGTGATACCAGCCCCAGCCTCTAGAGGGATACCCTAGGAGCCATGGGATCCGGGAGATTGCATCTGGCCCCAACACCTGCCCTGGGCCAGCCTGCCCTACCTCCCCTAGCACCACTAGGGGCCAGGACTCTCCTAGCTCCCTGGGTCAGAAGAGCTTGAGCCTCTACCCAGGCCCTCTGCTCCACACCCCTCCTCAGGCTTGTCACTGGGGGGCTGGGCCTGTGCCTTGTGTGCGCCCCGGTAGGTTGGCATGGGAACTCAGAGCAGGAGGCGGGCAGATCACTAATTGCAATTTGCCAAGCTGAATGTCAGGACCGTGATGGAAAAAAAAATCAAGATCAAAAGAAAGAGGTATTAGCTTTGGCTTGCTGCTGGCTGAGCCACAGCCTGATGCCAACCTCCGCTCTCCACTGCAGGCGAAAAGCTAACCCTGAGCCTGAGCGGAGGCCAGGCTGCAGGCCAGGCTACGAAGGGCAATCAGGCCTCAGCTGCCAGTTGGGGGAAGGCAGAACCCAGCGGAGAATGGAGAGCCTGCTTGGCCGCCGGCTCCTGTCCACCAGGCACTGATCGCCTGGCCCCAGCTGTGGATGGGCAGTGTGGCAGGTGGCTGTTTTGTGCTCCTGAGACAGAGCTTGGAGGTGGGGCGCTAATGTTGAGATGCGCTGCTGCACAGTCTTGTGTCCAGCTGGGCAGATGGCACGTGAATGGGTGAGGTCAACGAGTTGATCTCCAAGGGGAACCATTAGCTCTGCCCTGGCCCCGAACCTGACTTCAGCCATTCACTGGTGTAGGGGACAGAATGCCAACCATAATCCTTCCTGGAACTAATATGTACAAGGGCACCCAAGGTGTGGTGCCAGCATGTCATCTCCTCTCTCGCTTCAATCCTCACAAACAAGCAAACATTATCACCCCCAATTTACAGATGAGGAAACTGAAGCACAGAGGTTTTAAGTGACCTGCCCAAGGTCACTCACCCAGGGACAAGTGAACACAGAACTCGGCCCAGGGGAGTGCTGGAGCCAACAGCCAAGAGCATACACTTTGTACCATCTCTGCATCCAATGTCATCACCTTAGGAGCCTGAAATCCGCCATAGTGGGAATATTTATACCATAGAAATCAGCAAACGCCACCCACCAGTTTTTTGCCTGGAAAGCAAACTGTAAACATTTACTAGCTTGGCACTGATTCGACCCCAGGCTGTTGACTCTTTTCTAGTGTATCTATAGGTCTTTGGTTCAAGGATTTCACGGATAAGTAAAAGAAAACTAATTGGAAGAACAGACACAGATGCCAAATTTGTATTTTGCTCAAACAACACATTGTTATTATAATCACCATTGTTTCATCCAAAAAGGTTATTTCAACACTAAAAAAAGTTTTAGAAGAGCCAAATCTCAGGATAAAGTCCAATCCTTCCCAAGACACACACATACTCACTCTCCTTCCCTCCCTCCTCCCTCCCTTCCTCTTTCTCTCTCTCACACACACAGACACACACACTCTCCCCACTCCCACCTCCAGCTGAGCAGCTCTAGACTCAGCTATGGGCCATGGAGACTGTCCCACCCATGACACATCAGGACACACATACCCTCCTGGGGTCCAGGGGTGGCTCTAGCCGTTGGTCTGGCATGCTGGGCCTGATGGGTAGACCCCAGCTACACTGCCCATCAGCACAGCGCCCAGGTAAACAAGTTATTCTGATTATTCACCTAACCCAAACCCAATTAGGAAGGCAATACGTGTGTCCAAGAGTTTAAAAGAACATGACAGATCATTCATTTCATCATCACAGAGACATGAATTGCTGGTTCCAGGGTTTGGCTGGTGTCCCAGTGCTGGCTCCCAGGGGTGACACATGGGACCGAGGAGGCCAGGAGTCAACTACGCACGTGCAGTGTTCCTGCCCCGAGGCCAGAGAAACCAGCCACCAAGCCAAGACTAACCCTGGCCAGGCACAGTCATCCTCGCTCCAGCAGAAGGGCATTGGGGGAAAGGATGGGGAGATGCATCAGGATCCACAGCCCCGAAGGGTCAAAGGAAAACTGACCCCTGCCTGGGCTCCCATCAGCCTGGGCCCACGTGCCTGGCTCTGCCAAGGCCTCCCTGGTCAGGCAGTATGGTCCATAGGTCACCTTCCCAACAGGGTAGACCCATCTGCTGGCTCGCCAGATCCCTGTGATTTTCCACGTTCTTCATTGAGAAAACTGCTTATCTCCAAGTGTCTCTAAGTGCCAAATTAGCAAGACAGTGAGGAGAGAGTGTCTGGGAGGAGGCACGTGCAGCCAGGAGCCGCAGCCAGCATGATGACTGGTGTGGGCCTGAGAAGCTGGGGACAGAGCCTCGCACCACCATGTCCTCCAACATGCCCGAACCTAGGGGGTACTGGCACTGTGCCCCAACTCCACAAACAAGAAAACTGAGGCCCCTGGCAAGGATGGGTGCAGGGCCATATACTAGAGAGAGAAGCCAGACCTACCCTCCGGGCTCCATCAGCTCCAGGAGCTCACCCTTCCAGGACAACGCAGCCTTGGGGAAGCCTCAGGGAGAGGCTACCGCTGCCAACTGTGTGAGCTTGAGAGCTCTGACCTTGGATGTTCCCCTTGGTTCTAAGTTCTTTTTGTGTGTCGAAGACCAGCCCTGAGCTAACATCCGATGCCAATCCTCCTCTTTTTTGCTGAGGAAGACTGGCCCTGGGCTAACATCTATGTCCATCTTCCTCTACTTTATATGGGATGCCACCACAGCATGGCTTGGCAAGCAGTGCGTCAGTGCATGCCTGGGATCCGACCAGGCGAACCCTGGGCCACCGCAGCAGACTGCGCGCACTTAACTGCTTGCACCACCCGGCCGGCCCCTGGATGTTCCCCTTGGAACCTCAGCTTTCCCATCTGTAAACAGGGGTAATAATGACTGGCTGAAGAACTTTTTTGTTTTGTTTTGTTTTGTTTTGTTTATTGATGTTTTAATAGTTTATAACATTGTGAAATTTTGGGTCGTACATTTTTGTGTGCCCATCACCATATATATGTCTCCCTTCACCCCTTGTGCCCACCTCCTACCCCCGTTGCCCCTGGTAACCACAATACAGTTTTCTCTGTCCGTGTGTTGGTTTATATTCCACATATGAGTGAGATCATACAGTGTTTGTCTTTCTCTTTCTGGCTTATTTCACTTAACATAATACCCTCCAGGCCCATCCATGTTGTTGCAAATGGGACGATTTTGTCTTTTTTTATGGCTGAGTGGTATTCCATTGTATCTATATAGACTACATCTTCTTGATCCAATCATCAGTCGAGGGACATTTAGGTTGCTTCCACTTCTTGGCTATAGTGAATAATGCTGCAATGAACATAGGGGTGCATAAGCCTCTTTGGATTGTTGATTTCAGGTTTGTTGGGTAGATACCCAGTAGTGGGATAGCTGGATCATAAGGTATTTCTGTTTTTAATTTTTTGACGAATCTCCATACCGTTTTCCATAGAGGCTGCATTAGTTTGCATTCCCACCAGCTGTGTATGAGGGTTCCTGTTTCTCCACATCCTCTCCAATATTTGTTGTTTTTTGTCTTGGTGATTATAGCCACTCTAACGGGCGTGAGGTGATGTCTTAGTGTTGTTTTGATTTGCATTTCCCTGATGATTGGTGACGTTGAACATCTTTTCATGTGCCTATTGGCCATCCGTATATCTTCTTTGGAGAAGTGTCTGTTCATTTCCTCTGCCCATTTTTTGATTGGGTTGTTTTTTTGTTGTTC